ACTTGTTCATTGACAATAACGTTTCATTACAACGTAAACTGGTCAAACTTGTCTGACTTGTTCATTGACAATAACGTTTCATTACAACGTACGTTCCTTTGTGATTATAGAACCCCTTTACAATTTTTGCCATTTTTCATTTTTCATTTTTTTKAAGTAGAACCGGTAGAACCTCATTCACTCATTTGCTCATTCGACGCCTCGACTTCTGCATTGAGCGTAGCTCTTTGGCTGCACTTGTGAAGCTATTGTTTACATAGCAGAGTGGTTTCTAAGTCATTGMCTGATGAMTCATTACAAGTTATCGAAAAATGAATAGAAAAAAAAACTGGCTGTGTACATAATGTTGTTTTCAAAGGTGCTATCATTTGTAGTTTATGAAGAGAAAGAGCAAATTATGTTAGTGAGACGGACGTTTTAGTTCCATTACATTATGACAAGATATTGGCACCTACTATATTTCTTAGAAATTATGTCAAAAATTCTTTTGAGTAAATGAGGTCATTTACTCCAACCTTTTGTTCTTTCTTCTTTTGAGACAAAATTTTTTATCTACTTTAGTTTGACGGCGTAGTATGTATAGTAGGTTTAAATGAGTTATATTAGAATTAAGGAGCATTATAGTACTTCTTCGTGCAAGTAGTACTTTAAACTAGTGCTCTTGGGGCGTGCAGCGTTGAGATGAAGGGGCTATTCATTGATATACAACTCGAGATATAGAAGCAAGTGTTAACCAGGTACTGCATGCTGTAGATGTTATAATGTATTTGAGCTTTTTAAAATGATACTGTCGTACAAATGAGGTAAAGAGGGTATCTATTGAGACAACTCTAGATATAGAAGCAAGTGTTATAACCCAAGTACTACGTGCTCATTCAAAGTGTGGCAATAGATGCCTTGCTTAACAGACTATAAAAATTTATACTGAACATTGTCAATCTGGCTGAACGSCATAACTATGTTTTTTGCGAGATTTTCAGGCATAATAATAGTCTACAAATAGCAGGGATAATAATAGAGTTGACCAAGGGGTTTGGTTATAAGCCAGTGAACACTTTACTCTTTTTACTTCCAAGTTTTTCTGTGTCTTTTTGGTATGTCACACATCATGATCACAACACTTTGCTTCACGTGCTAATGAAAACCACTTTATCTTAGCACATTATCACATACACAATCCGAATTTAAAGCCGAATTTGAGCTGGAAAACAAAATAATGGCGATGTAAAGAACTTGTTTACGAATTTTTGTAAGAGAATGTATGGTTGGCCATGGCCGCGCGCTTGCCCCAGTCTAGTTGCACTCTTTCTAATATGTCGGCATTAACCTTGGGTCAGTCTATTTTTCAAAATGTTTTGAATGATTATTACTTTTTTATGTGTTCTTTGTTAGTTTTAAAAATATGAAAACCCTTTATAAACCCATTTATTGTACACTTTTGTCGGCGTACTGTGCCGTGGAAAACGTAGTTTAATTAAACAAGTGAAAATTTCATTTACACCTTCGTCTGAAAAAGTCGAAATAGGTTTACAGTATTAATTGACTGTTCAAAGATTTGAATTGAGGAYTTACCGGCTTTCTGACAATAACATTTTTAATTAATTTAGCTCTGTTGAATTAAGAAATCTCTATGGTGAATGAAGCTAYAGTGTCAAAAGGTAGCGACTATAATTTCCAATATGGCGGCAGCCTCCAAAATGTGAAAATCATTTTCAAGATGGCAGAACCCGACACACTCCAAGAACCCCTCTTTTAATAAGTTTTAGCTTCGTTCAATTAATAAATCTCTATGGTGTATAAGCCACTAGTGCTAAGAGACTAATTTCTAAGATGGCGGAAAATTCGAAAATGTGACAATTTCCAAAATGGCCGACCCTGGCCATAGTTAATCGATTAACTATGCCCTGGTATATTATCCAATAAACCCATTTTTTAATAGCTTTTAGCTACGTTGATAGGTCTCCGCTTTGAAATGAATCCACCAACATCAAAAGAAGGCAACAAACTTCCAAGATGGCGGAAATCTCAAAAATGAGACCATTTCCAACATGGTCAACCACGACATACTATTCAAGAAATCCTGGAGAGGATTTGAAATTTGTGGGTTTGTTTTCMATTTGTTAGTATGTTAAATCAATTTCGTCTTTCTTGAATGAAGCCATCAGCGTCGCAAAATAGCGGCATCTTCTGTAAATATCGGCAATTTTCAAAATGGCGCCAATCTCCAAGATGGCCGACTTTGACATAATATATATTCAAGAAACCCTCAAATTCACCAATTTTCCCTGCTGATCTTGAATTATAAATGCCTATTTCTTTAACTGATTCCCAACGAAATGATAAGTTGCAAACCAAGAATTCATGTACAATGATTATAAATTAATAACGACAACAAAGACACAATATAACGATATAACGTGCAGATAATTTATTTTTAACCCCGAATTCCAGGTTTTCCTTAAATAACTATATTACAAAATACCTGCGAAAATTCATTCCCTATTTTATTCTACTACTTGAGACTACTTGAGAGTGCATTCAATATATCAGTGAAACATTTTGTAACTAAATCGCAAAAATTGCGTCTAATTAAACAACACAAAACAAACTATTTTACGACTCATTTGCCAAAATTAATTGCAAATTATTTCACGGATAACATGAATGTGCTCTTCCGTAATTTATTCGTATTATATCGTAAGTGCCTTCCCCTAGGTCCATATTTGTGCTAAATAATTTACTATTAGTGACAAAACACGTGTGAATTGTAGATAAATATCGTCATTTTGATAAATGACATGAACACTGAGCTTTAGTTCCCATAAATTAGTATTATTAGATGTATTGTAAGTGATGACAGTTAGAACGCGAAAGAGACTCTTTATTCTAAAAAAATGCTTTCCTTGTGGTCKCAAMRTGTCAAACACGAAAAGCGTGAAAAAGAGCTAACCAAATATTGCAGTAAAAGCGTAGTWAAGYGTARATTAGACTAGAAAAGACAAACGAGTTCGCATAATAGGCAATGTGCAGCGACGCCATTTTGCAGAGCAAAGCATGATGGTCGTTGTAGTCCTTGTACTCTTTTATGTCCGCTACAAGAGTCCTCCTAAGAAGTTTTTGCTTTTTCTAAGAAAAAATAGAATTAGTTRTACYGTTTCGGCAAAGAAAATAAAAAAAGTAAAAACGYTTTTTAGGGAGATATTTTAGTGTCTATAATAAKTACGAGGACTRCAACTACCAACATGCGTTKCTGCAAAAAAYGGCGTCGCTTCACATTGCTCTACTTACATTTGTTGTATTCTGAATATTATAGATTTACTTTCACGGGTTTATGCTGCCCTACATACTGTATCCATTGTTTTAGTCAACAAACTGAGCTAGCTAAATGACAATAAATTCTAATCTCTTTGCCGTTTATTATTTATGAATGGTGCAACTTTTTGCTAAACACGCAGAGCAGAGCAGAGCGATTTTCAATCATGCAGAAGAATAAAATTTCACAAAAACATAGCAGCTGATTTCTTGTTGCACTTTTTGAACTGTTTCCAATACAGTTTTCTTTCTTTCTCTTGATTCAYGAAATTCGCTCAGTAGCTCAATATATTAAGTGACCTTTTTAGAAAAAAAGATTCTGATACCTAAAAGATCAATTCTAATACAAAAATGGCCGCCATATTGAATGACGTCATCCATTGAACTCGGCGCRMTCGCCATTTGGTTTCCCGCCATTTTTCAATCACTCCSTCACTTCCGATTTTGTTGTAAATCAGAAACTTTTAAGTATCATTATTTCATAATGTAGTGATAATATAGTTCATTCGATATCTTAAAATACTAATTTACTTTTTCAATTATAACAAGTAGTGTCTAATTCAATTTCTTACACGTACAAAACTAATTTCCACAACTGAAACGTTTTTGTCTTTGAATATGGCTTATATTTTTGAATTTAGCTTTTACAAKGAAATATCATGGCGACGCTTAAAATGAAAGCTGCTGTCACACCTAATACAGCTAATAGCTTAAACAGTAAGCTACATTTATCAAAGTCTAAAACAAAACAAATTATTAGCCACAATTAAGTCTAAAAACACTACGAATTCATACAAGATAATCGCCATATTGGATATACCATCTTATATATTTTGTTTCTTATTCTACTCAATTTYTTATGACTTTTACTCTACTTTTTTSTAGACTTCACTTAATCCTTGAAACATACAAGGAAAAATACAACCACCACTAAACAAAWATATMGTTAGTTGTGGCTATAATGCCATTCTGAAAATGGCCTGTTGCTTTAGCGTTAGACGTATTCGTATAAATTTTCAAAACCGCAATTTTTTTCGTTTATGCATTTACATGTAGGCTTAACGTTTACGCGAAAACACCGTAAAACGATGACCGTATCTGCGGATAAAACGCCTTTCAAGTAGAAACACCAATCACGCGTTTTTAAGACAACGATCATTTTTGCGTAAACGTAATTAAAAAAAATATGATATGCGGTTTCGAAAATATGCAGATGCGTGTAAAGTCACCCTACGAATATCAACATGATAAATAGACATTGTTAGATTCAAAAAAAAATCTWAAACTGTTGGTGATTTAGAAGTGTATAACATTCAYATTGCACGTTTGGATGTTGTGTGTTTCAACTGATARCCCTGCCGTCTCCTCCATTCCTACAAGATTTCTCACGGTTCGCTTTAGCAAGATTGAAAAGTTAAATTCTAATTATGACAAATTTTGATTATGTTCTTAACAAGTGAGTTAAATCTCAAAACCAGAGAAATTTCACTCGTTAAATGTTTCGTATATTCTGTACTATTTTTACCCTCATCGTTAATTTAAAAGTTTGTATTTTCACTCTAGTATATTCTTATCTACATTTATCAGAAATTATGCCATGGGCTACCTGTGTTATAATGTACCACAGGAATCCCAATTAGTGCTCAGGTGCTAATAAATTACGTTGCTCCCGTGGCACCAATAAACGTGTTATGGGCTACCTGTGTTCTAATTTACTACAGGAATCCCAATTAGTTCTACAGTGCTCTATAATCTACGTATGCTTACGATGAACTGAATGTAGTTTGCATATGTATTTCCTAAAATAGAATTACACATTACATTCTATTATGGTCTGAAATCAGTACAAACATCTATTTTTCCAATGGCAAAATGGTGAGATTTCTACGGATGCTAGACCACAAAATACCCTAATATTATTACATATTTTAAGAAAGGTCAGTAATTTTTTTAACAGAAATATAGATCAAATATAGCAAAACAGTGCTTAAAGGCTGCTTCCTGACCGAATTACTTTGGTGTTCAAATTTCCCCATTTCCCCAGTTTTTTTAAGTGATCACTTGTACATTATTGCAGTGCACAATGTAATTATTTGCTGCAAGACAAAATTGCATGTCGTTCTTGTGCAAATAAATAAATTATTATTATTTCATTAAGTTAATTGGACTTAGCCTTTTCAGGAAACGTCAAGAAGGGATAATCCCACAGTTTGCTTGAGATTCCAAAACCTTCGAACAAAAGCAATCAATAGATAATTAAATTAATAAATTAATATTAAATTAATAAAGAGAGGTGATTGTCACAAGGTCAACGGCATCAACACCAGGAKTTATCAGTGTGAATATTGCTATCACTTAGGCATTGCTTTTCTTTAGTGTAATTAACTAAAACAAAAACAAAATTCTTGCAATACACCAGTTTCTACACATGTGTACATATCTCTTTCACCTGCCTTTGCATCAATTGAGGGTAAAATTTGTGTACTTTTTTGACATTTTAATTAAAAAATTTGTCCCTTCACCAAAAATGCCACCTACTTTAACAGGGTCTTACAATTCAAAAGGTTAAATGAAAAGAGCTTTGATTTGAAACTGCTGCAGGCAAAAGATTAGACCTACCTTTTTGCTGGTCTTCAAAGTGGTGTTGAACATGATATTTCTTTAAATTATGAAAATATCCTCCAGGTCTTGGTGAACCATGGTGAAGGTAGTAGTGTATACAATCGTAGAAAACGTAGCCAAGAAGTCCTCCAGAGAAAGTGGCATGAGCATAGCCTGCTGACATTAGACATCTAAACAGACTGTAGAAACAAAGAGCAAAGACAGCTGCTGCGACGGGTGGGAAAACAAGCCTTGAGCCATCAAATGGGACCTAGAATTTGAAATGGATGAACAAATGAACGCATGAACAAATGAATGGATGAACAAATGAATGGAAGATTAAATGAATGGATGAACAAATGCA